GCGCGCGCGCGTGTGTTTGTATATAAATATATAAGACAAATCACTCAATTTCTTATGTGCTTGATTGCATCCCTACATAGGTAACTGTTGCTGTCACTTACAGTTCAGGAATGGAAAAGACACATGGAGCCTATTTCTCTGGTGGAAGGGTAAATTAAAGACCTATCACAAGCTTCCAGTGGTTTGGGCAACGCTCCAGACGATTCAGGCTTCGCCCACTCTCTCCCTCACTGCCTCTCTCTTTGCAGGGGTGGGCTTATTTTCTTCTGTATTTTTGGTAGATTGAAAACTGCAACATTCACATTCTCCGTTGATCTCAGATGCTGGTGGCTCTGGTTTTCCACTCATTGCTTGCCAGGAGGTAGTACAACTGAAGATGCCATTGGCTGGTAAGTCGTAGGGATAGCACTGAAGGGGGGGAGAGGGGGCTCGGCAGGACTGACTGGACTTGCATCTCGTGACGTGCAGACTCCGTGAAGGACGTTTCAACAAGCGGAGGTGGAAGAGGGACTCAGCTGCAGCAGAGGCACTCCTACAGCAGGGAAGATGCTGGACACCATCCATCTTTGTGCTGCATCCGGGGGACGTTGCGGGGTTAGCGAAATATTTCACATCACAAAAAACAGGAACTCTTCACAGCTCAGAAAAAAGGAGGGGGGAAAAAACTCTTGGGCATCATTTCAAGTAGTAAAACACTGCTCCGGGTATGGGGGGGGGGGAAAAATTGCCTATGGAGCGCTCTTTATTTGGCAAGCCTTTTTTTTTTTTTTTTCTTCAGGTGAGTATTATTCTCAAAAACAAAAAAACAAAAAACTCCACATGGAATATAGAAATGCTTAAAAAATTTCTTTCTTCCCAAGGCACACTGATTGCTTTCATTAATATGAAAATAGGTAAATATTTCAATATGAAAATACTCAATATACACAATATTTTCTTGGCTAAGTCCTTGAGGAGATCTCTCCCAATTCTGCAAAATATCATGCGTATGTCCATGGAATGCTTTCCAACTCCCATGGCTATGGTTGGGATTTCCGTGTGCGACAATTCTCCTTTGTTGATCTTCTGGGCTGCTGGAATGTGCAACGGCAGGGAACGCTCCGGCAGATAGAGAAGAAACTGGCACAGCCTTCCTCAAGCCATACTAACCTTAACAGACGAGGAGTGGGACGGGGAAGCGTGACTGTCGAGCTTTCGTCTTTTGTGATCTGTGAGAGACAAGCCGAGCGACACTGGTGTTAATTTGTGCATTAGTGCCATCCATTTAATGTCTTACAAACATGCTACAAAAGGTAAGAAAATGCTGAATCTAAATATTTAATTTTACTTAAGTGAATTCATGTGATTTACAAATGTAAAGCATGTCAGCATCCAAGTGGACAAACTGTCGCAGAAGTAGAAGAATAAATGAGATGAAGTGTACGGACCTCGTAAGAGGCCTGACAGAGAAGTCAAAATGTTACGGCACACTTTCATGAGCAGTCTAACACCACTGGAACGGCTTCTTACCCCTCTCAGATTCAGCCGACTCAGATCTGGGACCTGGTGACTTGAGGGACCCGGCCACAGCACTCCTGTCTCCTTTCTCCTTGCTCTTGGCCTCCTTGACAGCATCACGCTCCCTGGACGGTTCCATGGGCTCCCCGTTCCCGGCTTTGACCTTGTCGTCTTTTCCACTCTTCTCCTCTGGCTTCACTTTCTCCCTGTCTGCCTTCGGGGTCTTCTCCTTACCCTCTCGCACCACCCGCTCCTCTTTCCCTGCCCTCTCATCTCTCTGCTTTTCCCGGCGGTTCTCTGCCTTTGCCTCTGGTGTGCTGCCGGGTGTCTTTTCTTTTTTCTCTTTTTTCTCCTTCCCACTCTTCTCTTTGTCGTCCCGTTCTTTAACGGCTTTGGTGCTGCGGAGACATTTTTCCTTTTCAAAACCATTTCATTGAAAATGCTTCACAGAGAAATCTTCTGAATCCAACACTCAATTATATTTTATTTATACATTGCTGTATCACAAAACAAACTGCACACACTTTCAGCAGCCGATGAAACTGGTGGATTTTTTAAAGCTTTGTTTTATTCTCCTACCTGTTGAGAGCACCGTTGCCATTGCTGGTGGTCACTTTGGCTGCTGCACTGTTGGCTTTGTTCACTGGCTTTGTGGTCCCCTGAGATTTATCCTTGGCCCGATCTGCCCAAAAAAATAAATAAATAAATAGTCGGACAGGGTTTATTAAAATTACAGGCTTTCATATTGGAACTGAAGCACTGAGTGTTTATGCTGCATCATTGTGGGAAAATAGTAATATAGACATACACAACAAAGAATTTAGTGTTTGTCAGATTAGAGAGAAAGGTGGTAGGTGTCACACTTTAAAATCCTTCACTCACCACCATCCTCTGAAGTCCCCTCCTCGGTCTTGCTTGTGTTAGTGGCAGGCTTGCCTGTGCTGCCGGGGCCATTCTGTTGACTGGCAGGTGTGGCGCTGCGTGCTGGCTGCTCTTTGTGATGAAACTCATTCTCAGGGACCATGTGCACCTTCTGGCTTTTCAAGCGACCTGAATAACTGTAAGACGCATAAAGGGTTTGCAACAGCAGAGACAAAACTCCTAAAAGAACTTCTCAGTGTCACGCAGTGCAAGAATTAAACTTTTAGAAAGGGGTAAATATCAGGTAAAATAAGCCCCATTGTATATGTCTAATCATAGATTGCACGCACGCACGCACACACACACGCACGCACGCACGCACGCACACACACGCAGATCAATATCCAATACCCAACACAATTCTTTCCTATACACAGTGAAAACGTTCACGGAACAACATTCACTGCATATAGGATTTTTACTCAAATGTTTATAGAAATCCAGGTTCTGTCCTGTCTGCATACTTAAAACAATGGACTTGCTTTGTAGCTTTAATGGGTCAGTGGCATTAGGTTCTTCCAATTAAAAGTCACCTTACCACCTATTAAAAGGCTCAATTATCAACACTTAACAACTATCTCCACTCTAGGGCTAAAAGCCAAGTGCACCAACCCATATTTTAACATAATCATCTCAGCTACAGATACAAGCTCCCACTCCTACATGTCTGATAAGAGTTCATAACCCCACTTCACGCGATAGATGTTAACTATAAGCTCCACATAGAGCTGATCAGCACACAATGTTACCCCATTGCTAAGGCATAGAGGTCTGGTCGCTTATCCTTCTCTTCAAGGCAGATCTTGTGGACACGGCACTCTAGTGCTTGGCCCAGGTTCAGGACCTTCGGGTAGCAGGGCAGGATCTTGGTAAGTACTATTAAAATGTTCCTGATGTGGGTGTAATCTCCTGTTTCCAAGCAGTGAACGGATGCCTGGTTGGGGGAGAAAGAAAGGGTGATATCATGGTTAAACACACACCATTAAGAGCAATGCTTAAAATCATTTGGACTGAATATAATAGAAGAGTAATGGTGAACAGACAACTCACTTTAGTCAGCATGTAATGCCATTTATGAACCACATGGCGGAAGTTTTCATAATCTAGCTGATCTGCTTTGTTTCCTCCATCAAAGCCTGTGGCTCTGAAGATGGTGAGGAAGCCGGGATAATTGGCACACTCCTACGACCGCACAAAAACAAGAAAGATTTACATCCAGCTCAACACGCAGCAGAAATTTTTCCAGGTACACAGAACATGTAGACATGGACACCTTCTCATAGATGGCACGGTCGCTGTGCCAGCGGGTCACCGTCTCCAACATGCAGCAGAGGAAGCGTCCATAGCGGTGAGACTCATTCTCCGTACAACTGGCCACAGTATAAATGATAGCAGAGAACACCTGCCAAGGGAACAGTGGACAGATTTTACTTAACGACTAAGGCAGCATGATCTATACATTATAATGTGCATGTATATTATTGGAAAATAAGGGGCAGTGCCCACACAAATTATGGTAAGTGTTCAAGCTTTTATGCTAATCATCATTCAGCTGAACCTTCTTAGTATATCACTTCAACCTAACATGATTCACTTGAATGGTTGAAGAACCACTCAATGATAAAGACTTTTTATTTTAATGGATTATTTCTACTCCTTCTCTTCTGCAGAGCGGGATGAATTAGAGCCTAGTTTATTAATCACATTATAAATATTTATTATTTTTCTTTCTAAAGCACTTTGGCTTTAAGAAGCTCTAAAAGTGGAGGTTAAATATTGTTGTCATGCGCAACCTCTTACCCGGTCGTAGCACAGTAGGGTGCAGAAGTTGGGAGTCTTCTGCTGATGGACAAGCTCAACGAATCGGGCACAGTACACCGCATCGATGGATGAGAAGATGCAGCGAGGGAACAGGCAGAGCTGCAGGAACTTTGTTATGGTCTCATTTTTTGTGGATTCTGTCAGTAAGCATTTAGATTTGTGTTGGAAAAACAATGGACATTATATCTTCTCTCATGAATGATCCCATTACATCAGCTTTATTCCCCATTATTACATTAACTGACAGCCATGCAGCTGCTGGATGTTTGCTTAGTGAGAAATGCTTGTAAATAATGCAGCAGAATTTATATTTATAGCTTTCTCTTTGGGTCAAAAGAAAATTGATGCACTACTTTCTTTTCTTATTTAGAAAGACTGTGCACAAGCTGACTAAGATACATCAATACCACCAAACATTAAATCACTTACTGGCCAATAACCAGTTGTCTTTCTCCAGTTTGAGGCGGTGTAGAACTCTTTGGACATGCTCCAGCTGCTTCTTCTCCTCCTCCTGTAGTTTTTCCTGCAGTGCAGTGCAGCGTTCCTTCTCCTTCTTTTTCTTATTCAAGGGCTACATTGGAAATAAATCAAACAAAAAACAGTTAAATAAATACATCCAATTACTGATCACAATCATTTTACAAGTACTTCACACAGATATTATCTTAGTCCTTAGACTTTAGAAATGACACTGACTAAAATCAAAAACATCATTTCTGTAATAAATCTGCAATCTGCTGTCCAGCAACAACTCTCAAAAAGCTACTCACTATCTCAGGGTTCTCCTCAATTTGCTTGATCTGCGCCTTGAGCTTATTGACCTCACGCTCGTAGGCAGCATGTGGCACGGCCAAGTCGTACATGGTGAGGGACCAGAAGGTGGCGTAGAACTGAGGGCGGAGATCATCCCAGACCCTGGCTGGATGGAGCGATACCACAGCTTCATGCACCGGTGTCATCACCTGTTCGCAGGCCGCCACATACTTGTGCACCTTCTGCTGCTGCCGATTACCTTTTTCTGCCTTCTTCAACTCATCATACTTAGACTGCATGAAGAGAGCATGAAGTTAAAGGACCCTGAATTTTTTCAAGTTAATAAACAATATCCATTTTAAGCAATTCAAGCAAAAAACTAAACTTGTGAAGAGACAGATATACCATAAAGTCTTAAAACTTCAAACTTAAACAACAAAGTTACTTTTTAAAATATTTCCATTTTATTCATAAGACTCGAGTTCAGTCAGTTTTCAAACCCACTTTTTGAAATCTTTGTTTCAATGAGGGAAATCAAGTCCATAAGGACTGAGACAATTCAAAGGCAGTATGTTGAAAAAAATTAGAGTGATCTACTCACCAGTATCTGATGGGCATACATTGGCCTAGACAAGAAGAATGCAGCGTCATGTGGAGTGTGGAACTGGTTACAAAGGATGTCAATAGAGGGAACCCGCTTGATGTAGTCTTCCGTGCTGAGGTTGGAGGCCAGAAAACCACCAAACTGCACTAGTGTGTCATGACACTGCAGGAAGTAAATTATTAATTATATATAGGAACAAATGAAACATAGTCTCTTAAGTTTTTGTTGTTAGATGTGTTTCAATTTAGTTGTCAAATGCAAGGTCAGTCAACTGTTTAATTTTACTGTGAGAGGGTGAGTACCTGGTCATACAGATGTCCAACAAGTTTAAGATGTTTCTCTCCACCCTCCAAGAAAACCACGCCGTTTCGTTGCTGGGCCATGAGTAAACACAACGGTAGTGCTAGTTCGTGATCCAGAAGCACCTCCTTCAGACGCTGAGACGACTTTTTAGTGTTTCTGATCTGGCCGAAGTATCCACCCTGCAAAGAGAATCAGACTCATAATCCGTGTACCTGCGCTGAGATTAAAACAACGGGCTCAAGAAATCTTACAGCTCTTTCTAACGAGACTGCATTAGTCTCATACCTCGGCTTTGAGTTGCTCGCCTCCCGTCATGGCTTCTAACTGTTCCGAGGTCATCTCATCGGTGATCTCAATGCCAGCCATTTTCTGCACCACTTCTTTCAAGATCAACAGGTCAAAACTGCAGTAAAAAGAGTGAAGTTGCTCATATGTTTAAATAAGAAACATATAAAGCAAAGTAGACAATGACCGCCAAAAACAACCACATGCTCATCTCCTTAAAGACATTTTATGATATTTTTAAAAGTGGGATTAATTAAATCTTTTCTGATTTCTCAGTAGTGATATTACAAGTTGTACAGCAAGTATGTATCTTTTATTATTTGAAATGATTATTAAAAAATATTTTATCAGGCAAAGTAATATGAAAGAAAAAAAATCCAATGGTCCTTGGACTCGCAAGTTAGTAATTCTATGCAGTCTCTGCTAAACAGTTTGTATCCACTCACCTTTTCCCTGCTTTTAGTTGATTGGTGACATATTGAAGGAGGCCAGCCAGCTCAATCGGGTACTTTCTGAACACAGCTCCACACAGACTTGCCAGGCCTTGGCGTATCAGAAGAACAGGTGTTTGTTAGATATTCATTAAAATATCAAACAATTTCTTTTCTTTTTCATGCAAATGAAACCGTGAAGCCACTCACTCTGAAGCCACGAGGAGATGGTAGTGTCATCGTGCTTCATCTTTTCCTTCTCAGGATTGGCCAGAGCCTCAATTATGCAATCTGAAGACAGAGTTAAAAGGAACAACACAGACGGACAACTCCCTCACAACTCAGAAACGCACACACACTTGTTAACAAACTGAAAAAAGGACAAAAAAAAGAGAAAAAAAAAAGTGTAGGATACAGGCCAAGACATCGTAGTTGAGGGATGTGAGGTATTTCAGGGAGTCGACCACGGGGCTGATGAGGTTGTCGTACCATTGGATCTGAGACAGGATCTGCCATAAAACAATGAAGGAGGAGGATGAAAAATGACATTACACATTACACCACACCTTATAGCATTTGTCACATATAAAAAATAAAAAAAACTGTGTCTGAACACACTGAAACAGATGAGATGCTCATTTGAGCAGTCTTATATTGTGAGGTGCACTGATTTGTTAAAATCAGTCTCCCAGATGCAGAACAAAATGTCCTACTGATGTGTATGAACAAACTTCATTCAAAACATTTTGCTTTTTTCCATGCAAACATTTCCTGCCATTTAGTTTTTGCCAAGTGACTATAAATTTGGTTAATGGATGTAGAATTTGCAAGCAGGACGCTAGACATGAGCAATTCCTCGAAACCATGTAATCGGAAACCAAGCCTGCTGTAGGACACAGAGAGAAATCTTACTGGCAACTGTATGGAATAGAAAAGAAAAGAAAAAAAAAAAGGTGCCACATGTCTAGAGAAGTATTTCTTTACGGCCATAAAAATGCAGGATTGGTTGCTCTTTGTAGTTTGTGGACACACACAGTAAAATAAAATAATTGCAATAAAAGGGACTTACATAATCAAAGAGGATGGTGGGATTACTATGGCTCAGTTTTCCAATCTGCCTTCCAGATTGTTTCACGTTCTCTTTGGTCAACCGCCTGAAGAGTGGAACAAAAAATAAAAAAATAAAAAAAAGGAAAAGAAAGGGAGGACAGGGGAGAGAAAAGACTTAATAACACAAGACGACACAAAGAGCACTGTGAGCAAAAACTGTCACTTCTGTAAGTTTCAAAGCAGTTGGAAAATGTTCTTACGGTTGTCATCTTAAAATAAGAGAACTGTTACTATTTTTTTCCCCAGTAGCAGGACAGTGTTAGGATAATTACTTACAAATCTCTGCATATTTCTATTAAATGTCCAACTTGAATAATAATACTATTACTACTAATAATAACAACAGCATTTTTTTAAATTCCACAATTGCTTTTTAAGACTAAACACACACACACACACACACACACACACACACACACACACACACACAGTAAACTTTCATTTGCTCCTGCTCGTTTAGTGTCATGCAACGATAACAGTGATTAATATTCAACTATTATCCAAAATTTGTTCCTGAGTTTAGTAATGTACCACACATCATTGAAAGGTAATATGAAATTGACAGATTTCAGACAAAAGATTGATCAACACTTGAAGATTCAACAATATTAGATGTTGAAAAGATGATCCAAAGGCACAGAAAAACATTTTACTTACTTCATGATGTATTTGGCCCTATCCACGGTCTGAGCTTTGACTTTAACCAATAATGGATGGCTGGAATATGTCTCATTCTTCCATTGCCCATATAACCGATACCTTAGAGAACACATAATGAAAGGTAAAAACTTAAAAACACCTGTAAGAATGGCAGTGTATGACATATTAAGAATCTACAATTTCACATCTATAAGAACTCAGACTAGAGCAGGGCGATATGACCAAAAATATTTATCACAATATACATTTGAAAATCTGCGATAACGATATAACTGACGATATAATTGACACTAGACAAAATACTTTACAACTCCACAACTTTATTAGTGCAAAAAAACCCAAAAAAACCCATCAATGTATTTTCACTTAAACAAGCAGCTGTTTTTTTTTATTTATTTATTTTTTATCTGCATTAAAGTTATATAAAATTTAACAGTGCAAATGCAAAACCTTGCTGACAGTTTAACCAAAAGGCATTTCCAGTGGAAATTGGCCGACATATCCTCAGCATAACCATGTATAATATCCACAAAACTTAGAAAGAGGTTACACACACACAACACGGTAATATTATGTTGAAGCACAGTACGTATCACTCCGCGAGGCTCCTGCCTACAATAGCTGTAATGCTCCGACAATCCATCAAGCGGTGCGGCTTCGTAGCTTAGCAAAGTCGTACTAAAACATTTGACAGATTTTCGAGCGCCGTGTACATAAAATCGTTTCGAGGTCAGTAAACACAACCAGAATTCAAACATAAGGCACACGGGATTATGAGGGGCACTGTCGATTTTCAGAAAAATCAAAGGATTGATTTTAAGTGTGCCGTATTTTCCAAACAACACGGTAATAACGACGGCCAGCTAGCATGCACTACCAAAAATAGTGCTTTGTTGTGTATCTGACGGACGAAAGCTAAACCAGTTCCACACCACTGAAGCTGCAGCATTTTTACAAACCAGTTCTGGTTCATCAGTTTCATTCAACAATCCGCTTTCGCCCTTCTCATTCGCCGCCATGCTTTTTCCGCCATGTGCGTATGAAAACAAAGGCACTGCGCATGCACGTTTTACCCATATTCTATCGCAATATTTTCTTATCGTTGCCCAACATTATATCGGTATTACCGTTAAAGGTATGATATGGCCCAGCCCTAACTCAGACCACGCTTTCAAGGGAGTTAAGTTCATTAAACTTGCAGTTCAGAGCAGTTTAGGAATTTTCTTATGCACCTTATTTGCTCTTGTCAAGACAGCAACGTGAATGTCTAATTTGTATCACATGCTTCACAAAATTAAACCCATAATTAACCGTGTCATTTTTGAAATAATAACACTAATAAAATTTTTTTAAATGCATCTGCACATTAGTACTATGACAACCCCACTGGCAAATGAGCTACAGTACCTGCCCATTTGTAGTATACAAGAAATAATTTCTTTTGACACTGTCAAGACAGATCAGTATGCAGAAACTTTCCCTGTATTTCAAAGTGCAACTATCATAGGTAATCTACAAGTTTGTATTATCATCTGACAAAGTGACATGTACATCCAGAAGTAAAACAAATCCTCTGGGAATATGGAGCATCAGTGCCTATCAGCGCTGTGTGAAAATGTCCCATCAAAGGCTCTAAAAATAAAATTCTTGCACTGCTTAGAGGAATAGAAAAGTATATTGCACATAGAGCCACGGATCTCACTTTGCATAACCAAGCATTGTTTTAAGAACTGAGCGTGACTGTGTGTGGTAGTTGTTCTTTGGCAGCTGGTATACACCATCCTCGAGCGACGCCTGAGGGTTTACGAACCAACAATTACACAGCACCACATGCGGTGAGTGATACTATGTGCAGCAAATGAGTGTGAGTCTGTGCGTGTCCTTACCTATGCTGGTAGGGAAAGAGTTTGAAGAGACCCCACAGCTCCTCAGACATGCAAGCATTGCACTCCATCAGAGAGAGTGACGGGAGTAGCACCTGGTCTGCAATACTCAGGAAACAGCTCAACAGTGTGTCCTACAATGAAGATACCATTAACATGAATAAGCTTCTCAAAGTTGCATAAACTAAAAATTAACCCATTAAATATAGATAAATAAATAAATCAGTGTTTCTATAGGTAACAACCATGTGACTTTATGCTCACCATTTTGTCTTTCACCTCAGGTCTGTTATCACTTTGGTACTGAGACAAAACAAAACAAAACAAGAAAAACACAGAATAGCAGTCACAATTAGATGAAGGCTGCATTGCAGATGTGGAAAACAAATAGAGGGTGGTTTGTGGTGTACCTCTTTCATGAATGCCTTGCCAAGACGCACAATCTTGGCAAAGAGGATAGGGTCATGGGAGAGGTGAGGGCCCAGGTAGCAGAGCATGCTGAATGTGTCCCTCCTTAGGTCCTCAAAGCTCTCTGCAGGCTGAGGGGCCCGCTTGCTCCTTAGTGGGTGCATTACACATCCTCTTGCCCCTTTAGGAACACCAGCCCTAAAAAATACAGAGGAGCATATCAAAGTTTGTGTTTAATTTCATATTTTTTCCCAAATCAGTTCTCCATGTCCCATGTCCTAGTGGGCTTGTACATATAAAACTGAGAAAAATTCAAACCAGCTGTAAAATAAGATGTACTTGTGCATTCTTTTGGCTCTGACTACACATGGTGTGCAGTAAATGAAACATGAAATCAGCACCTTCTGTAAAGAGGCTCCACAGTCAGGTGCACAAGCTGGCAGAGTGCCAGCGCGATGGCCTTGTGAGAAGTGGCATAGAAGGAAGGCATCTGGTCCATAATACTCTGGGCATGGTGCCAATCTCCGATCCTGAGCAGCGCTTCCAACAGACCAAGCTTCTGGTTATCAGGTGGCTGTAAGCACAAAAAAATAAGAGCAACTAAGTGTCTGTCTATTGTTAAATATGCCAACGTCCAGTAACATTCACTAATGTAATTAAAGCAGACGCAAGAACTAAGCACAGCTGCTGTCACAAAACAAACTGACAAAGAGGCTGCACTAAGATGTTAGTGCCTTCAGTTGCACACCATACTTCTTGCCTCTTTATTTGCTGGCATCAATTGTTCTCTAGCCTACACCGTCACACACTGAATCAATGTTTTTGTTTGGAGAAAGTCAGAATTTTATATTTTAGAAATCAAAAAATAAGAACATTCGTTTGGAAACTGATATTTTGACATCTCTTTTATCCATAGCTATCAAACTTGTTAGTACAGTAAAGGTTCCAAATTTTTTTCTACTAAGGAACCCTTTAATGATTAAAAAAAGCAATTTATACAATAAAATTAGATTTTTTATGTTATTCTCTTAGCAAAGTTACTCTATTTCAATCCAGTGAACTACAACGAAGCTTAAAACTGAGTATGATAAAACGCTTTAACTGAAAAAAAAAACCAACTCAACTTAAAACTAAAATAATAATAATGTGAACTTTAAGAACTACTAAAATAAAAACATTTTTGCAATGTTCTGAACTTCAGTGTTCTGTAAGACACTGTCTGCATCATAATAACAAAAACACTCAAAATAATAAAAACCAAACTTAATAAGGAACAGTTTAAACAATAAAAAAAACAAAACTAAAATCTCAAAACTCACTCTGGAAAGTAAATGAAGTAAAACTAAGTAAAATACACAACTATAGTAATTCTGCTCCAAGTAGACAGTTCTGCTGCAGTTGCTTTTTGTATTGCATCACTTCCATCCATCCTGAACAGACCTGCATGCAACCGTAATAAGAAAAAAACCCTTCATCACCTTGTCATTTTTCTCCTCTTCCTTCTCTTTGTCTTTTTCTTTGTCCTCACTTTTCTCAGAGGGCAACACAACCATGACCAGCTTGCGAGCTATCTGCTTTGCCTCTGAGATGTCTCGTTTGTGCTCCTCTATGATGGCGGCATCTAGTGGCATAAGCTGGGAAAGCACAAAAACAAAACAAAAATTCAGTCTAGAGGCGATGCTTTGTCCACAAGAGTCACAATTAACATATTTGAACTAACAGTAAATTTAGGCATATATGATCCATAAGCCTAGATTTAGCTGATGTTATAACTAATGTAGTAATTAGCTGGATTTGCAGGTCTCTTCCTTACATGTACGTAAAGATCTTCCAGCTCTATCAGGTTATAGTGAAGGAGAGCAGCAGCAATATGGTAAAGTGACTTTGGGGTTTCCTCATTGGGCTCCTGAAAAAGAACATAAATCAACAAAGAAAACAGAAGTGATAAATATGATTCAGAGATTACAATTATAGGAGACATTTTAAAACACAGGTAATAACTTTGAGGTCATTTACTATACTGCTAGACACAGTCTGGCTTGTTTTATTTTTATGATGTTCTCACCTGGTAGAATTTGAACTTAAAGCCCAGGATGTGGCAAAGGGTGAGAGGCTCACACATGTAAGACTTGATGAGGGACAGGAAGAACTCATCTTGGTCAGATCGACTCTCATACACCTCCAGAATTATGTCCAATACTCGGTTGGGGTCTAGGTTGAAACATCCTGCAGGCAAAATAATCAGGAAAACTAAGCAGCCAAAAAGGAGAACTTAAAACAGCTAGTCCACAAATTCTGCTGCTATAATGCAAGGTTAACACAGAACAGGAGAGCCACTGGACCTCCTTGCGGTAGGGGACAAGGATACAGGTTTTTATTTTTAGGTCACCCCTCTGTATCTGAACTGCCTTGTAATACTATTCCTTTGATCTCAGACTGATGAAATCCAATATTGTCAATTTATCATACACTAAAGTAACCACACATTCAATTTAAAATCATCACTATCCTGATGCATAATATGTGGTAGAGACACTGAAGAAGATTAATAAAAAGTACTGAGTTTATAAAGTCTGGTTAACAAAACTGATGCTGAAAACAAAGAGCCACGACACTGAATAATGGCAAGAAAGTGTGATTTTTCAAAGCATTTTACAGTGAAGCAGACCTTAGATCACTTGGATTTAAAATGTAATTACTTTATCATTTAATCCTATTAGACAACAGGAAAACATAATGTCTCCAGCCATGGCTATCAGTGACAGAGAGAGATAAAAACACCCTTAAGAAGTGTGTAAACGATAACAGAAGCACCATGTGTGAAGCAGTGACAATGAAAAAGCAGTTTGTTACCTATGAGGGATTTGATGCTCTCCAGAACAATATGGCTGGTAATATTCCCCGACAGGTCTTGGCCTAGCTCAGTGATTAGTTTGGCGTAGCCCTCGTTCTCCTCTCTTAGCAGGTTAAACTTTTGCTGTTTGTAACTGAAAAGAAAAAAAAGAAATGTTACACAAATCTTGAAAGGACTTATGAAGCACCTTATCTATGCCTACATCTTTATCACATTTCTATACTTACAATAGTTTAGTCTTGATTTTAACAATTTTCTGATTGAACTGATGGGCTTGTTTTATAAGTCCAAGGGACTCGAGAGTTTCTGGATCCAGCCTCTCTTTCAGAATGGCTTCAGGGACACAAAACTGGGGGGGGAAACAAATTTTTAAAAAAAGAGGCAAGTAATTAGTTCATTTTCGTACGTTATTAGAGACACGACAGTCAGTAAGGCCTCTATAAATTTAAATAGAAAGTGGCATACAATTTGTTCTATCAGCTGATAAGAAAGTAATACTTACCAAACATGCTCCGACCAGCTGTGTGTAATGGTCACGTTTGTTTTTTTCTTCCAGTGCACTAGTCTCTAAATCTGTGAAAGTAAGCAAACATTAAAAACAAACAATAAAAACATATCAAATCAGATAATGTCGTCATACTACTAAAACAAACAATCAAACAAATAAACAAACTCAAAACCAGAAAAGTTACCTAGTATACTGAACACATCTGCTAAAACTGATGGCATGTCTTCTCGGAGTTCCTGAAAACAAACCAAAACAAAAGATAAGTAAAAATGTTTAAGGCTTGGCAAAATCTATTGTTACGAGGTACAAAGAAGCTCTAACAACACAACTCCTGTGAGTGGGTAGATTTGGTTTCTTTGGTATCTGTAATTTACCATCATATCTTTAAACAGACGTATAATTACACAGAAATACTGAACACATTATGTGCCAAAATAAAATGATAGTGTTTATACACCTGACATACAGAACTTTATACATAAAAACAAAATTTGAGATGTATTGCTATTGGGCTAATAATGTTAAACCATGAGGTGGTAATAAGAACCCCCCCCCCCAAAAAAAAGAAAAACACACAAAACAAAAAGAAGCCCAACAACAACAACAACAACCTTGAGGTAAAAACAACAAGCTAAAAACACATGTACCATCATGTCCCCAAGGACGCTGGTGACAAGATCCAACTTGAGGTTCCCCTGTACAACTTGCCAGCAGAGCTCATATAAGGCAGTCTGTATGTCTGTAGGGGTAACAGATAAAAGCACAAGCCAAGTTTTACGTAATACTAAAATAAAAAAAGTAACTGAGAAATAATTCATAACATAAAGTAAAATATCAAAGATTAGTGTAAGTGATTCAATGCAGTTGAATAAACAAGGAAAGTATTTCCTTTACTGTCACAACGTGATAGTAAAATTTGTCCTTTTGGACATAAAATCACTTGATTACAGTGTTATCTGAAATTTTGTGACATGTGTCAGCACACACACCAAACAGAAATCTCCACATGGGCTGCTTAGTTCCCTTCTACCTTCCAGCCATTGTTACACGTGGATAGTACCGTGTTTCATTGATTTTATTTTTTTAAATCTACTTATTATTTAAATTTAAATAATTTTAAACCTTTTGCATTCATTTTGGAAACTATGAGAATTCCCAAGGTGGACGTGTGTACATGAGGAGCAAGCTAAAATACAGTGACAGATGCATACAAGAAGAGTATTAAAGGAACGAGGGTCACACTCAACTCACCTTTAATTTCACTTCCATGATCTGCTTTCTCTGTAAGGTCTTTGCAGAGTTGTACACTATGAAGTAATGAGAGAATTCTTTTTTAGATTAAACTAGGATACATAAACATGATGATGAAAACCCTTATAAAGCTCAATGAACGAACCAGGATGCATGAAAACTTATTTAAATCTGTTTGTTCAGTGCCAACAATTTCTACATAACATTATTCTTGTAATATCCCGTTCACTTCCTCCAAGTTATATTTCTAAACCACATAACACTATACCTTTATTTACACCTTAATCCAGTCTTAACATTACACCACAAAAAGCTTTAGGTTTATCCTAATTATCAATGTAGTAGCTCAAGAAATATTATATTACCTACATTGTCACTACACGAGTATTTATGCTGAAACTGCTGTGTTTGTATATAACAATAGCACTGGCTCTTATGTTTGCTGGATTGATTACTGACTGAATCTTTGGGCGGGACAACCCTTACCTTCTCTGTTGCCAAACGCTCGCACAGATTTATAGTTAGTATTTACTGAGTGCCATGTTTCTCCCTCTTAAATTGACTGTGATAGCTTAGCTGGTGGATTGAAAGACTTAACGGTTCACCCAGTTGACAGCTTGACTGGTCTTAAAATATCAGAAGTAGTGATGACAAAGGCAGACTAATAGAGCACGTTCTGCCAGGCACATCCCATTTATTAAAAGGTACAATTACACACACTGGAGCACACTAGCTCCTTTCCTCTGTAAGAAACGCAGCACAGTCCATCAGCTTAACTGTTAGTGATAACAGCTTGTCAGGTGCTAAACACACTGTGAACAAGAAATGCAAATGCTACAAAAAGTCAGAGTTACAGCAAGCGGACACCTTGGATTGCCAGAGCCTGTAAGGTCAAATGTGCAAAGCTGCTATTTGTATAATGAGGCTGACACAACATTTTCACCACTTTAAGCTAAACCCTGGTCTCTGGGACTGGTTAATTGCAACTCACCTGGCATAACTAAATAATATTTTTTAAAAAAAAAGTAGATCCAGATGTCCACAATGTTTTATATCAATGAATTATATGGCTTAAAAATATTGGTTACATAATAACAATGTGATACTTATCAACATGAAAACCACATTTTCATTTGCTGCCTGTCATTACAGAGGATGGCATCTCACTGTGCTGCCAAATCACACTTTCACTGCAATGTACTCAGCTTTGCTATAACGGGTAATTTGCCTTGATGGAAATACTTTAATAGTTACCCCGTAGTTGCAACTGTTTGGCACAATTTCCAGTTAAAGTACTATCAGTTATTGACACAAGATAGTGGAACGAGAGTTTGAGTTGGTGCATCCCACTGCAGGCCTTTCTTAAATATGCAAGGCCTACAGCACATAATCGTAGCTAGTACTGTGGATGAGCCTATTGTGTCTCAGCTCACAGGCGATGGCAGTACTCAACATTAATGCGTGAAATTATTATTCACGCAACGTTTTTCTTGTATTTTTTGTTCTGAAGAAACTAATTTTAAGATAACAGTCGCCGTACATCAAGGTGTTGGGAGAGGCTTTTACAGTACTGCTTAAATTATTAAGTTTAACATGTAATGTTAGTGATAAAGTTTACTCTGATAATCGAGATGTCTTTATACAGTACCAAGCGCACAGATGTGCATCGATGAATAACCTTGGCTATGTCCACAGTCTCTATGCAAACCTTACAGCGACTATCCTACACCAATATCTAGGTGAAATTAACGCCAGCTAAGAAAAGTATGACGTTAGCTGTAGCTAGGTTAACATTATGATTAAAATATTCATCTCCTAAAATATATATCGTCAAATGATACGTTTTGTTAAACTGAATCAAAAAGCGTCATCTTTATTCTTCCAGGCTTACCCGACTAAACATTAAAGCATACGAAAAGGAATTCAACAAAACAATTACTGTAGCTAACGTTACGGCTAATCTGCTAAAGCGTTTTGTCAATGTCCGTTGTTTTCCCTCCACACGATTATTTAGTGTTAAGGTTTATAACAGGCTGCCCAAGGGGTTTTCTCGCCAGCTAATACTCGGTTGTCTGCTCGAAGTTGATAACTGCTAATTCCTTGAACTTTGGAAGTACATTTATTCCAGTTTACTAGATAGTGCGATATCGAAGCAACAGAAGAGTATGCTATGTGTATGCTAGCTCGCCTAGCGTTAACAGCCATAGTGTTTACACATTGACGGCGAATCAAATGGGAGCGTAAAGCTAGCCTTACTGCTAGCAGACAGCATTAGCTTCCACGGTGACGTTCAAAGCCATTGACGTCTTCTTTTCACAAGTCTAACAAATTAACTGTATTCAGTACTCAGGAACTAAATTACATGTATTGTTTTTTTTAAGTAAGTGACACTTGTAAGCCACTTTAAATTTTAGCTGCTTAGCTCAAGCTAACACACCTAAAGACCGGCCTTATATTTGAATGCTAGCTACGTCATTCTCGATAGTTTTTATTCGTAAACAACGGGTAAAAAGATGCAAAATTCAACACTGCCTTGAAATTCAGATGCACTCACAACTCATGTTTTCCTGTTTTTTCCCAGTTTTTGATCCATTCACTAGGAAGGGTAAGTGTCGCCATCTTCCATGCACACAGCCCGGATGTCTAGTTTATCATCATGGCACACACAGGGTCAAATGTGGTGGTTAGCCGCCGCTGCTAGATCACTGGTGCATTGTGGGACATCGACAGCTGTGCGTCCGAGGTTTTCGCACGGAGTGGTGGTGATGGTCGTGTAGTCTTGGAATAAGTTTGATTCTCCACGTTGTACTATTTAACTTGTTTGGTTAAATAAAATCCCGTGACACTTGAACAACCCAATTTAAATCTACCAGTAACATTTTCTCTAAGAACTACCTAAACAACAAATTGCAGGACAGCTGCGATTTCCATAATCCTCCGGTGCACTCATGTTTCATCAGTAAAAGCCAGTTATAGTTACAGTACAGGTGTTCTAATACCATATCAAATCATATTTATTGCTGTGTTATTAAGTCGTCACACAGTTGTAGAGGGTTTATTCTGTTCATGTTACATCTCCATACATAAATACAAACCGTAAAGGATGCAATGGGCACTTTGTAAATAGAATATAAACACAAATTTAATATACGCAAATATTTAAATATGTATAAACGTACAGATGTTTGCACATTTTCAGCAGTTTGATGCAAAACAGAAAAGCTCCAAAATGACATGAGTCATGTAAATTTACAGACAAGTCTAAGATGTGTTTTTCTCATTTGCCTAACATGAAAAGTTATTATGTATGTGGTAATGTTTAACCCTCTTGTTATGTTGGTTTCCAGGAACACCAATTATGTTCCTGGGTCAATTTGACCCGGGGCATGTGTACTCATCCAAAAAGTGTCAGAAACACTGGCATTGATTATTTTACAATTTTCTTGTATAATTTTGATTTTCTGGTTTTCTGTAGTGATGCAGATGACATCTCTTCTGTTCTGGGTCAACATAACAGGAGGGTTAAGACCTGATGATTTGATTCTCCAGATTATAGTGACACTGAGGAAATAAGGTTCATTTTCAGCTACAATATGATTACACCTTCTTTCATAAAGTCTGATTCTGCCAGCCAGGCCAATACACAGAAGAAATACCGGAACAATCCACGGTAAAACAAAGAAAAAAAAAACAATGCACTGTGTGTGCACTTACAAATTAGTAGATTAATGTCAAAGACTTACATTCTTTTCCTTTGACAATTCCCCAAAATTTCACACGAAAAGAAACAGTAAATATAAAATGAGCACCGATTCACAATATATTACACATTTGTAACTGTATAATATACAATTCTGATACTATGATTGTTGGCTAAAGAATTTAGAAGCTTTGTAATTTAGAATATTTCTATAACTCTTATACACGCAGCAGTCGCAAACCAACCAAACTGGCAGTTTGAAAAACTATTTCTGAACACCTGCAAATACAAAAAACAAAACAAAACCAAACAAACACACATCGTTCTCAACCATTTTAAAAATCCTTTCTTTTAAAGATTGCAATCATGGCATGTCTCTAATATTAGATATTACTAGATACTATACAGTGGAAAAAAATAGTTAATATATAGGAGAGATTACATATTTGAGGTCGAGTCAAAGTTTTACAACATTGTGATTTCTTCCAACATTAAAAAATAATTTTAGATGCAGCCTCAATTTGTCAAATTACTACATCTGAGCAATGAGGTACGTTTGTACCCGTTCGCTACAGAGAGACGAAAAGAAAATACAGCTGGCCACATCTATAGTAACATAATCATTTCCTTTAAAAAGGATCATTTCAATCTCTATGTGAAATAACATGATTAATAGAAACCATTAATTTACATTTGATTGTCATTACAAAATATCTATAAATCAAAGTTATCTAGAAGGTATAAAAGCAGAACACATGTCTCTAAAAAATACCATCACAAAGAAATCTGAGAATGCTGTATATATATAACTTGTGGCAAGGCTTTTAAACAGTATGACACGCCAGTTCACATTATACTTACTGTGTACATGTTTTGATATATGGCTACATGCCATGCCAGAATCTACAGTTTAAAAGTTCAGAAGGTGAACAACAATACCACTGACACCCTTCCAATATAACGCAGTAGCCATTTAATAACTGCTGCCATTATGAAACATTATATGCTCAGCGTATGTTCGGATTGCATCAGAGAGGGGGTTCGTTTAAACCTAAGACAGTTTCTCGATGTAAAGCTTAAAAATGACCATCCAGCACAATTACCACCTCTGTGACAAACTGCAGGGTTATTATAGTGTTCAACAATAACTGAACACTACAAGCATCAAAACAGTAGTGTTATTCTGCAAGCCTATTATATTTTCTGGTGTTCATGAAATTGTGTTCACCCTCCCTGTATATTGGCCGCTATGTATTTACAGACATTTTTCGTCTACTTAAAGAGTTTAAAGGTATACATCATTCACTTGAATTTTGACCTGTTATTGTCCCATCACCATGCAAACTGCTACACAATATCCGTACCTGTACCGCTTCACACATTATAACAAGTGTAGCCAAGTGATAGCTGGCATCAAGTTTTTTTAGGGCGACTGAACAAAAACCGAAACATCTCTGCCGCAGTGTGACCAAAATCCGGTGTGTGTGAAAATAGCAGAATAAAATTCAAATCCAAGCTCAAGCACTCCTTCTAAGTTTTAACAAAGTGTTAAAGAGGCAAACATTGGTGTCTCACAAGCCTACTAGTCCAGTCCACTCTCATTTATAAAGAGTCATTTCACCGTCCCAGGAGTTCGATGACATGCTGTCCTTTTCATATTAAAACATTGAAACATTGAGAACCTAAAGGCGAAAGAAAAAAAGCAGTGTTAGAAATTCAAAACCAAATAAAAACAAACAGATATCGAGTGTACAGTATGAACAGATGAGAAATATGTGGTTGTTTTTACACCTACAGTTGTTCCTCCTTTGGGGTTCTTTAATCAAACTGTCATAAATAACAAGAAAATGGACTTCTACCAAATAAGGCTAGGCATGCGTGAACTGTACGTTGATCTATCATGCTTACTTGGCCATTCACTCAAACAGGGGTTTTTTGGGGTTTTTTTTGCTGTCTTGCTCTTGATGAAGGCGGTCGCACTTTTCTCCTCTCCTCCTCCTCCCCCTTAGCTTCCCTGCTTAGCCTCTTGTGTCCTTGTCTAGTCTCGTGTTTTTTGTATTACTTTTCCCTGGAACACTCTCTCACAGTCTGTTCTCTAAAACCTAAAAGAGGAATTATGGATTTGATTTGATCAACTGGTCCCTGAATACAATTGACACCCTTTTTCTCAACGAGAAGTCTGGGCTCGGGTGAGCCTGAGTGCTAACAGGTTTCTTGCTGATCGGAGCTGGCTTGGCCCTGGCTTATCGAAGAATTAAGGAAGCGGAACTGGCTGTTCAAACCCCCACAAGGCTGCCCGCTGGGATTGAAACGATGGGCCGAGGCGTGAGTTTCTCAAAATGGGCTCATTGAGTGCAGCACAGATAAGATCTTGGAGAGGCTTACGGCTGCCGTGAATACTCAGAATAAGACTGGATTACATCTTGGAGGGGCTCGCTCGGAACAACACTTCTGAGCGCAAATTGGATCACATCTTGGAGAAGCGCACTGCGTTCATGAGTTCTCAGAATCGGCTCTTTGAGCACAAGAATGACAACATCACGGAGCGCAAGTTTGATAACATCATGGAGAAGCTCACGACTCTCCAACGGGAGATTGAGAGACCAGTGTTGGACTGTTAGAACAGCTTTGAAATTCATATGAGTTGTTTGCACTAAAGTAAAAAGCACCATCACTTCATGCGGATACCCCTTCGGCGCCAGCTGTGGTCTCAAGGCTGGAGCTGAACAACAACACCCTGATACGGACTGTGTTTAGACTGTTCTTCCCATTCTATGCAAGGCCACCTGGGTTGGCTGGAAGACTGTTTATTTAGCCTGGCAGGGCGAAGGACACTGTCTCAGCTGAACTCTGGACACATACACACACATGCACACAGACATATATACACAGGCAGATGTACACTCATCCCCACTCCCCCTCCAAACGTCTTCTACGCTTATTCCCCTCCGATGCTGACGGTGGATCAAGGAGACCAGCGCTTATGCTGCAGGCCCGGATGCACTGTCTACACTGGCTGTCTCTCACCTTTTACCCATCCCTGTTGCTTGTCATGTGTTTCTTTGGTGTATTAAGAGTTTTTTCATGTGCAGAGGTGTTTTTTTTTCTGCTCTCAAACTGATCTCCCTGTTGAGCTCAGTCTGGGGGGAGTTATTTTTTTCTCCTTATCTTTCCTCATGTTGTGCTTTTTCCATGTTATACCTCTCTGACCTGTCTTCCCCATGTGATGTTTGTGTAATGTACGTATGGTCGGAAGGGTAAGACGGCGCTGCCACGGCTGGCAGCCTTAACCCATTTCCCTCGGGATGAATAAAGTATGATCAATCAATCAATCAGTTATTATAAGAAGTGGAATACTCCTACCGAATCATCCATGATGGAAGATGGATCAAAGTAATCTGGCTTCAGTTCGGTTCTTTCTCTGCGATTCTTTGATGCCGGCTGAAAGATAACGACTCAGTTAGAAGAATACTCCTCAAGATGAAAAAAAAATATACAGTCAAAAAAATTATTAATTTTAACATCAACATTTGCTTTTATTATTTATTTATTGGAAGGACTGGCATGACCAGCTTACTCTGCTAGAAATGCAGCATTCAGATTATCTCTAATTTGGTTCAGTTCATCTGGATGCTACATTTTCAGTGGGAGAAACGTTTCATTACTCATCTCCCGCTGAAAATGCCACGTCCAAATCAGCAGAATCAACTTCCTAGGATTTCCTTACTGGAATTATTAAACATGCATCTAGACAAATGTAGACTATTGTTTGTTAGTTTTTTTAATTACCAAATCGATGTCCATTGTGTCAAAATCCATGCCCTCATTGATATCTTCCAAGCGGTCTTCAGATGACATCATCACATCCTCCACTATTGGCTCCTCATCATCCTCCATGAGCCCAGACCCTCGACGACTGTGATGCATAACAAAAAAATAACACGTCAGAAAAATGCTTTTTGTCAGACTCTTTATTGGCTCAAAGTTCGGCCAAAAACAGTTAAGTGCTGAATTTCTTACATTGCTTGCTGCATGTGGTTCCTCATCTTGGCGTAGTGCATGCTAACCCGCTCTTGCTGCTGACGGGCTTCAGCTTGTTGCCTTTGTGTCAGCATCCAAGTAACCTGGGTACTGTGGAACAGGGTTCATTACTTCATAATTCCCACAGTTTTAAAAAAGTGGCTTTACATACTGTACTGCAACTAAGACCTCTGCAGA